AATAAAATGCTTTCTTTGGTTTATGTTTCAAACTTGAGTATCAGATTGAGAAGTTTTTACTTACAAATAGCAAAAAAATGAATCACTTAACTGTGAAGTAGTTAAAAAAAAATCCAAAACAATAGTTAGTAACTTTAAGATACAATGTTTCCTATTAATACCATACCCTGTGATCAACTTCTGCTATAACAATCATCAAAAAACTAATTTGTTTATTATCCTGGTATATTTTTCTTGGCTATTACTTGAAATAGACAATTGGCCAGTAGCCTGAAAATATTTTAGTTATATAGAGCTTCTTATCATGGGATTTGACCTGTATTTCATTAAAAAGCTAATTGATCACACTCATCTAGGGAAGCCATAACCTATTTGATTTGCCCTAAGACTGTTTCATTTAACATTTTCATTTTTTATGGTAACACACTGTGAACAAACTGAAGAAAAAATACCCACTTGGACATTATAATTGTTTGTAGCTTTGTCCTGGTTTTAGTTTCCTACTTAATGACTAAATGGCACCACAGTGGGTAACGCACTGTAGTAAAAGTGGTGAATCATTAAAGAGTTCGTAAATTTTAAAAACAGGGGCAGGCCTTCTGGGTCTCATATGCTTCTAAAAAACCCGATGTTGTGCTGTATTAACTGAACCATGAAAGCTTTTATTAGTCCTCTTTAAAAATGCTTGCAGAGAAGCATTTATTAATGTTTGCCCCCAAATTGTTTCTACTACTTAGCATTTCCATAACAATTTATATTTCAAAGAACTTTTTGATCATTAGTTACATCCATTCTACCTTTCTATAGTGGAATTCAGCTGTTTAGCAAAACAGAGGCATAAAGATAAATCTCTTGACTAATTTTTGCTTAAGACTTCCCAATAAGAAGATGAATAGAATATGAGAAAATGAACAGAATATGAGATCTTGCTATAAATCTTTCAGTTCTATAAATAGCCTGGTCCTCTCACTCTATATGAGTAGAGTAGTTGTTAGAGTGTTCCCACATGGTGAAAAGAGAAATGAGTCAGCTTTATACAAGGGGCTTTGAAAACTAATGTTATAGGACTTTGCAACACAGCTATGGCCACTCTACCTTCCAAACTGCCCTAGAAGCCCACAATGCCAGAGCATTGCACAATTCTGAGGACAACAGACACATTGCGTTCTATGCTTGGAAAATTGCTTTGGATGCATTTTCATCAAAATTAATTACAAAAATTAGATTCATCAAATTTAAAAATCATACTAGAATCATTTTAGGTTTGATGTAGCCCAATTTATTTACTTTTAAAAACATTCAGGCTGAAATTATGTTTTCTATAATCTTGAGATCATACTAAAAATCTGCTCTGGGTTAAAATACGTTTAAACTTATTTTATGAAAAAAAAAAAAAAAAAAGGCATTTCATAAAAATCTCTCTGGTCTATCCACCTCCCTATAAAAATGAGATGGCCTAGATGGAAGTGAATACATGTAAGCCACTAGAATGTTCCCCTCAAATTATTGCCATCTCTATGTTTCCACAGCAGTTTTCTTTCCTTTTTTTTTTTTTTTGAGACAAGATCTTGCTCTGTTGCCAAGGGTGGAGTGCCGTGCAGTGGCATCATCATGGCTCACTCACTGCAGCCTTGGCCTACTGGGCGCAAGCGATACTCCCACCTCAGCCTCCTAAGTAGCTGGGACACAGTCATACACCACCATGCCAAGCTATTTTTTAAGAAAAAATTTGTAGAGATAGGGTCTCACCATGTTGCCCAGGCAAGTCTTGAACTCCTGGGCTCAAGCAATCTTTCCGCCTAAGCCTCTCATATTGTTGGGCTTACAGGCATGAGCCACTACGCCTAGCCAGTGTTAGCTTTTCATTTATCTATTATCAGATAACAAAATAAGTTATCACAGTTTTGCTTACAACAGAGACACTTACTTGACACAGGACTTAATGATGTATTTTTGTGTGTTTATAGTCTCTAAATATGAAACACTAGTGCTGTTGGATGGACTAAGAACATTTCTACACTTTGCCAAGTCATAGTGAAGAGCATGGTTGCATTTTGCTATCTGGTATTCTTCCCCCAGGCTACCGCATGAGACTATTCAAGGAAAGAGTCTGGAAATCTGTATTTTTAACAAGTCTTGGGAGATTTTTATTATCTGACTTGTTTAGTAAACGCTAGATGAGTCCTAACGTCCTTCCATCTGAGATTTGGCAATTCTGACAAAAATTACAACACTAGAATATTACCTATACCACTGTACAGAGGAAATAAATTTTGGTCCTAAATTTATTAAAATACATAAGACACTAAATGGGCCAAAGTTATTAATATTTCTTTCTCTCCCATGAAAGGGTGCTGTCCATAAAGGTAGAAACTATGTTTTAGGGCTCATTGTGGCCCTATTGGGTAACACACTGGCTGGCACAAGTTAGATGCTTACTAAGTTTTGAATGAAGAGCTCAACTGCAGCAGCTAGCTGCCAATCTTATCCAGATAGTCTTTCCTACATTCAGGATCCTCAGTGCCCAAAAGCAATATCCAGCGCTCTAACTTTGAACATCACTGGGCAGCAAGATTAAAATAAAAACTAGTAAATTTTATATACAAAAATCAGCACTTATTGTTTCACTGAATACATGATTAAGATGGTGGCATTTTGTACTTCCTATCAACTGTATTTGAATATGGATGGAGAACTTTTCTAAGAATAATGTTAATGTATGGGAAAAATAAGAATTCACACTATACCAGAACCAATTTCGAAGACAAACACACTCAGTCTGAAACATGGACCATTAAAGAATTTCTGAAACTACAGAAGTGAGTCTATTTTTCTTTCTGGTACACAATAACTCCTTAGAGCCATTTGTGGAACAAAAGCAAAATAAATGGATGGTGATTGCATAAGACCAATTTAATTCTCTTTTTAGATAGTGGGGGGAAAAGATGTTAAGTAAAACATTTTTTTTTTTCTAAATCAAACAATCAGGTTATTTCTCATCAGTGGAATATATGGCACCATAGGATTCAGGCTAATAACAGGAGAAGAATATTTTTTACGTTTGTGGCAGGAACATTTTCCTTTATCCATGCTAAGTGCATTTCAGGTCTGTGATCATAGTTTTTAATTTGCAATAAATAAAAGAGACTCCTACCCACCTGGAACATTTACTATGACTTTCCTCAACTTCAGATTTCACTCATAAAAACTTCCCAAATGGAGCTGATTGAGACCTCTGTATAATGTCAATGCAGCAGAATGATTTATAAGAAAAAAGTGCACAAGGAAATTTTGGTGACCCTAAAGACAAATGAGCTTCAACTCAATGGTTGTCTTATTTATCCATCACATTTTCTCTCCTTATAACTGAACAATTATCATGACTGGCAAGAATTTCCTCATCAAAATAGCAGCTTCAAATGAGATTTTCATTTTATAAAATCAATATTTTTGGGGAGCAGAGCATGCCAACACCCACTGCCAAATATAACCACGAGAAAAAAATACTTGATGATAGTGGTTCTAAATTAATGCCTCTTTTAAACAATCCAATTTTGAAACACTGAATTTATATACAAATAAATATATAAAATAATATTTAAAATGCAATATACATCTATATAATGTAAATGTTATTTTAGGTTCACCCCAATATAAAGAATAATAGTGTTAGACTACAATTGTAATAAGTGATGAAGCTCACAGACCACACTTCAACAAGGTAGTGTGTAGGGGATGGAGGGGGACAGGGGGAGAAACAGTCAGAAGAAGGTAAACCAGTGGTTCCCAAAGTGTGGTACCCAAGCAGCAACAGCACTGTTAGGGGAACTTGTAAAAATCACAATTCCTGGGCCCCACCCCAGACTTACAAAATCAAAAACTACGAGAATAGGACTTGCTTTAACAAGCTCTCCAAGTGATGTCAACATATGCTAAAGTTTGAGAACAACTAGGCAATAAAGACTCAGAAATAACAGGCATAAGTAACTGTCACCTGCTTAACCATGTGACATGCCAATTATCAAAGACGAAAGACTCAGGGATTTCTTGACTGCACCATTTAGAATCAAATTCCAAATTCAATATACAAGTTGGCGGTCTGTTGGGGATGTGGTGAAAGGTGATAAGACAGTAGAATTCCCGAACAGCTAACATGGGTGCAGCAATCCAGGGAGTGAAAATCTTGTCAAAAGTTTTCTCCCTTATAATCCCTGAATATGACAGTATATAAGCTTCGACTTAGAGAGTTGAATAACCCAAGGATATCAATATGCTAAGAATTTATAAAGAAATAAATGTTCCTATAAGTATCCAAGCAGAAAATGCTTTTAAAACTTGTCTGTTACTAGCATGTGGTATTTGACCCTACTTCATCATTCCCAAAACTTGGAGTATGTTTGTTCCAAAAATGACAGCCTGTTCCTGGAGGAATGGGTGTTGGCTGTGCTGATCACAGCACTACATGATCAGCACATATCACTCTGGAAAAGGAGGGAGCAGGTGCTGAGATTATAATTAAATATGTACATAGGAAACAGGAGTGGCAGCAAAGAAGGGTGGGGAGGAAAAATGTCCTTCCTGTGTGTCAAAGAGATGGAGGTGGAGTCAATCCACAAACTGACTTCCAAAGCCCCACAGTATAATTTCAAAGCATACAGACATATGCTAGGTCAGAAAGATTATGGGTGCAAAATTGATTCTTATATAGCAGTTCATATTCATAACTTCATAACGTTCAATCTGAATGTTACCTTAGAAGCAGAAGAATTAAAGTTCCATGCTCAGACTACAATGCAAATCAAATCAGTTGTCCAGGAAGCGAACTGGGTTTAGCAATAGAGAATTAGTTATAGAAACTAAAATTCAAAATTTGTTGTGCCAAGCAATCTTTGTTCAAAAAACAACGTTCCTTCATGAAATTAATTACTCAGTTGGAAACAACACAAAGCAGTATCTTTCACATAAAGTCTATTAACAATTTAAGAAACAACCAGACTGACCAGGCTGTGCCGGTGAGCTCATCATGAGAATCGGAGGGACTGGTAAGACTAGGATGCAGATGCAAAGCCTTTGTCGTTCAGCTACTGACAATGGTCCAAGAGGGGTTGGCAGAGGAGAAACCTAGAACATAAGAAAAATGCAATGTTTAAGATACAAGCCATGTCAAGTCATACTGAAAAAGAAACACAAAGAACTGCCCTTGAGTCTCAATTCAGACACAGTGCGATCATGTGTCTTTGACGCAGTCACATCAACCTCCCAGGTCTCTAAGTCTTCATCTAAAAAAAAGCAAATTCAGCAGTCTCGCTGATAGCACAGGAATATTGTGAACATAGAAATAAAATAATAGGTGTAGAAGGAATCTGTGAGGGAGAAAGCAATTCACATAATTATAATTAGCTTACTATTTACTGTTCACTATAATTTGTTTTCTATTATCATTATTATAGAAATTAAAAAGCTTCTTTGGATTTTTGGATATAAGTATGTCATTACTTAGCATTTTAAACTATTATTATCAAAGACTTCCTTTTACAGATAAGACCTCTTGGCAAAAAGAAATGTGTAATGGACTAAAAAAATGAACAATTAGGCCATAAACTATAAGAGTGACAGAAAATTCCCATTATAATTTCCATTTCTTCTTGAAGTCTTTTGTAATCTTGTTCCAGCCCAAAGTAATAGCAACCATAGACTTTCTAGGAGTCACACTAACATGATGGACTTCTTAAAAGGGATTTAAGGGACTTTCTGCTTTTAATTTGAATGTACTTCCACTTCTAGACACTTAGAGGAAAAGCAACTGGAAGGACATTTTCCTAACAGTTTACTGGAATGTCAATCTTCAGAAAAAAGCAGCAGCTTTTAAAATTATACTTAATGAGTTTCTTACTAAAATAGTATACCCCAATTGCACTATTTTTATAGACAGATGCTATAACTCTGAGAATTATACATTCCTTTATCTTCAGAATCCAACATATTTATTGTGACTCGTTTTCCCATCACTATTTTCAAAGTGTTATTGCTATTTTTGCGGAAATGTATAAAGCCGAATATAATACATATTTTCTTTGAAGAACTTTATAATATCACCAAGAATACCTGTAATACTTCATATGGTTTCTAAACAGAAATGTGCTATTCAGTTATTCAAATAGCTAAGCAGCATCATTAGATCTAGCAGGCTACTTCACATCATATCCTTGGTGCTCAATAAGTATTAAGATTTAATAACAATACAAATGTATATTTTTATAAATATCCTTCAAAAATTATATTGATGTGCTGTTGTTCTATTAACAATATCTGAAGAGTCTTGATTTCTATATCAATGAGAAAGCAACATCTCTACAGAAAGATAAAAACAAAGGGCAAAACATTTTTATGTCAAGAAGTGGACATTCTGACATTGGTTTTAGATAAAAATTGTTCAGTGTGATATTTACTATAATAACAACATTACCCTTTGGGAGGCCGAGGTGGGAGATCACTTGAGGTCAGGAGTTCGAGACCAGCCTGGCCAAGACGGTGAAACCCTGTCACTACTAAAAATACAAAAAATTAGCTGAGTGTGGTGGTGGGTACCTGAAATCCCAGCTACTCGGGAGGCTAGGGCAGGAGAATCACTTGAACCTGGGAGGTGGAGGTTGCACTGAGCCAAGATAGTGCCACTGCAATACAGCCTGGGCAACAAAAGTGAAACTCCATCTCAACAATAATAATAATAATCATAAACATCACTTGCATTGTTTTTTATAGTTACAAAGTGCTTTTAGACATGTCACCATATTTGATATATTTTCATAAAAACCATGCTGGTAGATAACTGGTAAAACTCTCCTCTAACCCTCGACCTAATAGGTGATAAAACTTGGATGCTATCTGCTTCATAATTAAAAGTACATTAAAGTTACATTAACTTGGATTTGAATTTATAGACTATCTTAAATTAACAAACATGAGATTAGAGATTTTTGTCCTTCTTATTTTTTTACATTGTAGTCTGAAACATTTTATAAATGCTCTTGATACATTCTTGATTCTCAGTGGCACAAGATGATTTTAGATTAAGAATACAAATAGGAAACAATAGGAAACAGAGAATGTAAGTAAAGGAGCTTGGAAAGTACCTTCCATCAAGGGCATAGTTAGTATAATTTTTAAAAATGTTTTTAATCTTTAATGTCACTTTGTACAATAGATAATTGTATATTTGCAAATACAACTCAAATTTAACAAATACTTTCCAACAGTTCAACAGTAGTTAACTTCTGCCACTTATTTCCACAAAAACACACAAAACAATTCTCCATGGCATGCTGATTTGTGGCTGGGAATGTAATAGTTGGGTTTTGACTTCATAGCTCCAAATCTGAGTTGCAAAGTAAATCTGGGATGAAAATACAAATTTGACTTACAAATATCACATCTTTTTGAGAGTTAAATAATTTTCCTTGCCGTTCACTCTTTTTAGTAACTGCCTCTTCACGACACATCCTCTAACATTTATGAAAGTGTTGTTATGTGAATACTGTTTTAATGAAAATTAATAGGCATTTCTATATTGATATATACTAGTTTACATTTACTGCATTTCTATTTCCAATAATCCACATTACACCAGGGTTATCATTACTGCTACAGCTACACAAGTAGAATATGGTCATTTAAAGAAATTGCATAATATGTTTCAGGGATACAGATCTGCTGTACAAATGTACATATCACATGTATGGATGCATCACAGGCTATATATGCTTCCCTCTCCTCAGGGCCACAAAATCAAATCAGCAGCCTGATACACACCTTTTATGGACAAAATTGATATATAATTTTTTACACAAATTAAGACAGTTGTAAGTTGCTTGGAAAAGAAAGAAGGGTCAGCAGTCAACATCTGTCAATGAGAATGGGCAATTTATTCTCAAATCTTCCCATATTTGTTTATCCAAATGGGCTACAGAGAAATAGACTGTTTAGAAGTTCCTCTCATATATTAGTCATTCTTATGATAAGCCTGAAGTAGAAATAATAGGAAACAGGCTGCCAAGTGTGTACATAACAAAAAATTTTGCATGTAAAAAACATGTACCCCAAAACCTAAAATGCAAAAAAAAAAAAAAAAAAAAAAGAAAAAAGAAATACAATGCAAATTGTTTATAAGTATGGATTATCAAAGGATTTAACAGAAATACATCTGCTTTCAATTAATAGTTTCAATAAATTTTAACATGAGCTTGCCCATGCTGTAAAAAACATACATATAGGTACACATTTAAGGAGATAAATACAAGTGAGCAAAAACAACTGCTACTATTAATCCTTTGTCTCTTAAGATCCAGGAATGGTTATTTTGGTTCTTAACTACATTCCTTGAGCTACATAAATCCACAATAAAAGACTAAGAGTCCTTTGCTTCAAAAAAATCATCTATGACTATAATTTCATCAGCTCCCTGAAAGTATATTACTGCTGTAATATCCTCAGATATAGCACCGGACAACTCAAGGCAGTGACTTCTTGCAGTCTCAGCTTACCCATGCAGCCAGGAAAAAAAGAGAGGGCACTACCACATTTTACCATCCCAGCCTATTGCTGGCCTTAATATCATACATGGTGGTCTTCCATAGGTCCTTTAACCATTCCACTTATGTGGCCTGCTCAATTGTAATAACATCACAAATCACCAGAGCTTTACATGTCACAAAGAAATTGTACAAGGAGTATCTCCTCTGATCTTCACAACAGCCCTTTGGGGTATACCGAATCAGACAAGGTGTCACAGGTATAAAAATTTGTTTACAGATATGTGGCTGACAAATGGAGGGCTGATCCTGTAACTCTCAGCCCAGTGCTTTCTATGTGGTATTACAAGGAATTATAGGCCACTTCAGCAGAGCTGTTTGAATATCAAGACCTTGCCTATCTAGTCACCACAGTTTCAGTAATGGCTCATTGAGATGCTGGTCTTCTTGATTAATGTACCTATCAAACCACTGAATAGATCAAACTCAGTCATAAAACATGATACAATGAATCCAAAAGTTGCCATAAATGTCTACAAGTCATCTCACAACAAAAGCTTTCAAATTTGACTTAGACTTCATGTTCTTTGAATATCACAATAATCATTTTGGTTTTTAACTATACTCTGAGTTTATTACAGTTGTATTTTCCCCCTCCTTTTGAGTAATTAGTATTATTTTGGATAGTGTGCTACTAAAAAAGCAGAACACTTTTGTAATCTATATAGGTAACAAAAATCTTGTCTATTTAAATCTGGTACATCTTTCTCATGGATAGGACAAGCCACAAAGTACAGTTCAGTCTACACAGCCATTCACACTCATTTACAGGTACTTCTCTTCTCAAATTCAGCCATTGGCCTTGGTTCCTCTACAGAGTATGCTTCCTAAGCTGACTCAGTTTATCACAATCACTATACAGATCATTTCTTGGTGGGAAAAGCTTACTGTGCCAGCACGTTGAACACCAAGAGATTCATCAGACCCCCAGTATCTGTCTCTCATGCCTTAGAACCTGGAATTCTGCTATAATTTCAACTTTGGAGAAACGCATTAGAAAACTGCTCTTAACATTGTGTTCAATAATCCTTATTGAGCACATATAAGACACAGTTACCCAATATGGAAATCTTAGATTCGATTCCATTTCTCTATTTCTTGCTTTTACCATAGACAGTCACCAGAGTCAGAAATATCTCTCTTATCTGAGTCCTCCTTTCCATTTCAATTAATACTGCCTTGGCTCAATTAATTGTTTGGTCTTGATTGGTTTCTTAATCTAGTCCTCTATCTGGTATCCCTGCCTCCAGGGAACGTATAAATAAATGAATGAGTCAGTAACTATAATTTGGTGACACACAGATCCTTAGCTGGTATTCAAGTGCCTTCATAACTTGTCTCCTTTCATTCCACTTTTTCTCCTTCATTCTTTTCCTAACGTATAACCCCTATGGTTTCAGGCAATCTGTCATTACTCCCAGAGTGAAGTTCAACATTATTAGCTACTACCAAGGCACAGGCTACTCAGAATGAACACCTGTATGAACACTGTTAGCACTTTACTAAAACACATCAGTTGACTATGAGTCCTGA